ATGTATTTTGAAAACAAAGTTGTAATGTTTTGATGAACTTGACATGTTTTGAAAGTTTAAATTTGTTCGAAATTTTTGGGTGTTACACAAAATGTTAAAAATCGGATTGTAATCATAATAACAATACAATAAGCACAATTATAGGTCTCCAGCAAATTAATTATCTAGAAATCTGATAAGGTTTAATCAAATCGAAAAGCATACCTCCTGAAGGCTGAAGTCTCCAACTCCTATCTTCACTTTTAAGAATTAGGTATCCATAAATTGTATATACATAAGAAATCGGGACAGAGGGTGAAAGGGCAGAGGGGCATTCAGAAATCGATTGAATGACGGACAGGGGTATACAAAATTGGATGGCTAAGCATAGATGAAATAGATTCGTAAGTGGGAGAGTATCCATAAATCTTGTGTGTTGACAAAGAAATCGACAAGAGAGACTCCTAGTTTATCGTTCTCTACATCCTGATTCACTGAGTCGTCGACGCTTCGTTATTCAAGGTGAGTAGGCGTCGATTACATAGCCAATCGTTTGATTTCCCACGCCTTTGCCTGCCTGCATCAGATTGAAGTAATTGCATCATCATTCAACAGTAACATACAACCCAAATAATACCTAACAGTATTAATGGACTGAAATTATGCACTATATTTTTTGATGCCGTGGGCCTATGCCCAATTCGCCCATGTATTGGGCCGGCCTGTATAAGTCACTAACCTTTCTATTTCAATGCAATTGAGTTGTCTGTTAGTATACATACCAAACATAATGATTTATGGAAAAGGAAGCTAATAAAATTCAATAAGATTTAAGGGGGAGTGGGTGGTAAAAACACTTGGCATTTTCTTGGCTTCTCATACAAACATCACCCCTAGCTCTAAGGTGGCATGACATTATGACAAACTAAAATGGTATTTAAGAGAGAGAGAGAGAGAGAGAGAGAAGAGAGAGAGAGAGATAGTTTTTATTTATTTATTTACTAGTTTATAATTCGTGGGAACCACGGTTATAAAATTAATTAAACTTTTATAATAAAAACTCAAAATTATTAATCACTTATTTTAAATAAATTATTAATTAAGAGATTTTTTTAGTTATATAAAAATTATAATCGTTGATTAAATAAATATGTAAAATTATATCACTTTATAACTTGTATTAATTTTATTTTAATTTTTATTCTAATGTTAATCATTTAATATAATTAGAGTGGAAAATTTCAAATTTCAAATGGAGAATGGAGAATCAATAGGTTGACAAGTGGCATGCATTAATTAGGAGACATAATAGGGTGACGCATGACAAAAAGAAGAATAAAATATGTATTAATTAGTAGGCCTAATTGATAACACATGTCAAAAGGAGAATAAAATTATTCTTTTATTAGAATAAGAATTATTAGAATAGGGATATTTATTTTTTTACCATGTTAATTTATCCTTTTAAAATGTCATGTCATTCATGTTATGCAACAAAATTGACATGACAATGAATTTGGGCTTTAAAGGCAATGTGACATCATTACATGTCATGATCCACTCCCTCTCACCTAAAATAAAATAAAATTGGCATTCTTTAAGAACAAATTTTTTAATAAGACAAAATAAACAACTTTTTTATATATCCAATGAATTATATTTGATTATTTCGCTTATCTTATCAAACAATGCACTAGAGTTTGAAAGGCAGAAGTCTTGCGGACTAAGAAAAACAAAAAGGAGCTTGTGATTGTGATTGAAAAGAGGAAAGTTTTAGAAGTGAAGTTCAAGATTCATACTTCATGGTTACCTTTTCACCCATTTGACATTTCTATCCTTTTTTGGGGTTTCATTATTTCTTTTAAACTAAATTTCATTATTGGTCTTTACGGTTTTCAAAAAGTCATATGGTAAGAACTACTATCAAAATCGTTACATGTTTGGGCTAAGTGGTTTCTAAACATTGATTGGTCATTTTCTTTGACTCCGCTTGATTTTGGACGTTAGCCCCTCCCCATGCACACACGCATATGCCACTCAAACAAGGGTATATGTGTCTTTTTATTTCCCCAATGTTCATATACTCCTTTATCAACCAAACCCCCCAAATTAACTTCTTCCTCGGACCTTCTTCTCCATTTTTCTTCTTCGCATGCTCTTTGACGCAAAAAAAAATGGTTTTTTGTTCTTATGGAATGTAATTTTCATCACTTTGTAGACTAACCTAAACCCATGAAAGAGGTTCTAATCTTGTTCAAAATGCATGTTTATAGGATGGTTTGACCCACCAATATTCCCTAAGGTTGTTATGTGATTCATTGAACATGTTCATGCATGGTTAAGTTAGATTCCCTCTAAACATTGTGCTAGATCTCACTTTTTTGGTAATACTCTATTCCCTACCCATTCAATGCGATTTCTAAATATTGAAGTAAAAACCACAATTTTCAATAATATATATATATATATATATATATATATATATATATATATATATATATATATATATATATATATATCTTCAAATAGCAAGGATAAAATCCCAAGATTTAACGTGAAGTTGCAATATTTTAGATAATCCAAAATAAAAAGTAGGGCACATCGGTAGGTCGAACCACCCAATAAACCTCCATTTTGGACCTAACTTAGAACAAGACCGAAACCTCCTTCCTAGGTTTAGGTTAGTCCACAAGGTGATAGCAATTACCATGCTTCCACAAGAACAAAAAATACCATTTTGATTTTTGTGTAAAAGAGCCTACGAAGAAAAATAGAGAAGAAGGTACGGGCAAGAATGTAATTTGGGGGTTGATGTTGTAAACGAGGATATGAACATTGGGTAAATAAAAATATACAAATACCCTCGTGTGAGGGGCTAGTAGGGTGGTCTAATGGTCAAGCTTAAACAAAATCAAGAAAAAGGGCCAATCGGGAACAATATGTACCAAAAGCATAACAGTTTGATAGTTTTCTTCACCATGTAACTTTTTACAAACCACAAGGACTATAAATACCAAATGACTTTTGCCCTCATTCTTTGAGGCTGATCGTTCAGATATAGTTGGATTTAGAAATATTTTAGGAATATATTGCATTTGCTTCGTTGACAAACAAGCGGTTTTATTTTCAGTCCTCTCCATGGAATGTATGCATTGATTGTTTAGTTTTTGTTTTTGTTGAATATTTTCATGTTGTAGATAGATGTAGACCTGGCAAACGTGTTGTGTCGTGTCGGGTTCGTGCCGTGTTAAGACATTAAACGGGTTGAGAGTGCTTGACCCTAACCCGACCCGTTTAATTATCGTGTCGTGTCGTGTCAACCCGTTTATTTTCGTGTCGATTTCGTGTCGGGTTTCGGGTTATGGTTTAAACCTTATAAATATGTTGTGTCATGCCGGGTTGAAATATTTTAAAGGTTGAAAAGTAAGAGTCATGAAGGAAAAAAAATGAAAAAGTGAAATGCTGGAGTTGGTAGATGGAACGGAAAAAAAATTATACTCCCTCCGTCTCATATTTATTGTTCATTTTTTACTTTTGAAGTTTTTATTTTTCTACTTTGACCTTTAATATTTTTATTTGTGTTATAAATTACTTGATAAAACTTATAACAATGAAAAGACATTTAAAACACAATCCATTCATATATTTTGCATTAAGTGTTATATATATCAAAAAACAAAAATATTTAAGCTCAAATTTGAAGAATAAAGACTTCAAAAGTCAAAATTGGACAATAAATATGGAACGGAAGTAGTAGTAAGTTTAGAAAGTAAAATGGAAAGAGTTAGAGTTAGGAATCAAATGAGATAGGTAGTGAGGAGGATTAAAATTAAGTCACTTTGAAATTTTGAATTTTACTTTTAGTTCTTCAATTTGGGCCACTACAAATGTATAATATTTAAAATATTTATAAAAATATGAAATATATATATATATATATATATATAATTAAACGGGTCATCTTCGAGTCATCTTCGAGTTGAAAGTCTTGACCATAATTCTACCCGTTTAATTATCATGTCGTGTTGTGTCAACCCGTGTACATAAACGGGTCGAAATCTCTGACCCTAACCCGCTAACTTCGTGTCGGGTTCGTGCCGGGTTGTCGTGTCGTGCCAGATTTTGCCAGGTCTAGATAGATGATATTTTAGATTAGCATTGATATTTTGATGTTTAAGAATGACACATATGATATTTTGATATTTAAGAAAAAAATATATGATATTTTAATGTTTAAGAATATAGACGATATTTTAAAATTTTATGAAAGGTAAATATTATATTTAAAAATTAAGTTGGACAAATATAATATTTTTATGTTTAATAAGGGGATATACAAAATTCTTTCTTTATTGAAAATGTTGATTTTTACTTCAGTCTTTAGATGTCTTTTGCTAATATCAAGATAAAATAGTTTTGTAAATCTTTTCTAATGTTTAATGTTAAGCATAAAGTAATTATAACTTAAAGATTTTCCAAAAAATAAAAGAGATAATTTTCATGATATCAAAAATTAATCTAAAAATTGATATTTGTTTTGAGAAGAACTAGAGTTTAATGATAAAAAATTATAAATAAACTTACAGAATATTTGTGAATTGTAACTGATTTAAGAAAAAGTTATACTTTTTAGAATCAATTAATGACGAAAAACATTTATCAATTGTTTTCTTTTTACTTATTTATCACTTGTGCACAAATCATTGTCCAAGAACGCTATCAAGACAAAAAGAAAAGAAAAAATTACTCAAATAGGTTACATGGATGTGATTAATACGCTTTATTGAGAAAGAATAAAGAGAAAGTAAAAGCAAAAGAAAAGGGGGCAACATGGTAATTTTAACCTTAGGAGGGTATGTTTCTCTTTATTTGTTTTCCCAATTCCCTCCACAATCTTTTGTAGTAATTCTTCAAATTCCATGGTCATTCATCACTAAGATGTTTATTAATTATTAAACTGATCATTTAAGCTCATGAGATTTAATATAAACTTATAAATTAAATTTTGTTCTACAAATAATGGATGGTTTTAACTTGTTATAGTATCAAATAATACTTTCTCAATATTATAGTATTACCTCATTTTCAAGGCATAACACTAAATTTATATGTATTTCAAAACTAAAGACATAAACACTACACTCCAAGCAGGAGACTTTTGATAATTCGATCTTCATAAGGTTTCAAGATCTTCAAGTAACTTGTCCCATTCATTTGTCTTGCTTTCAGATTTCTTCATACAATAAGCCTTTACACATGCAAATCCCCAAACCATAAGGACCAAAATCGCCATAAAGACCAAAATCGCGATACTTGTTTCTGAAAAGAAAAGAAAAAAAAAACTCAAATCTAATGCCAATTGAGTACAAGAAATGAGTTTAAAATAGAACCAAGTTATCTAAATGTCTAATTAGGCAATTAGCTATATAACAAATGTTATATTATTTTATCAAAACTTTTAGTTTATTCATCTAAATGTCTAATTAGCCAATTAGCTAATATAACAAATGCTATACGCTACAAATGTAGAGATATATAACAAGACAATAATCAAAACTAAAAGATTCTAAAGATTAAAATCTTGACTTTGACCTTAAAAGGTAAATCAACATTACCTTCTCCAATGGATTGAACACCAAACCACCTTCTTTTAGCTTCTGAAAAATCATCAAAACCAGTCGAATCCCATGTCAAATCAAGACCAAAACTATCATCAGAAACGTAAGAACTATACTCAAATGGAATCGAGACAGTTTTGATAAGCTCACAAGAACTGGGAATATCTAACGATGACTCCACAACATAAACATGGTGTTTAGAATCACTTAAACATGGGATTTGTTCGAAAGATCCCAAAAGATTGATCGAGCAATTCAAATACGTATAGTTTCTAACAACATGATAGTATCGAAAGGGTGTAGGATCAAGATTGAGGTTCAAGAACACTTGAAAGACGCAATCTTTTGGGTCGATTAGAGTGAGTTTTCTGTGATCGTATGAGATGGATTTCACGCCCAAATCGCCGTAATTTGGGAATTTGATCATGGTTTGTTTGTGTTTGCAGAAAGAATTGACTTTGAATGGAAAATGGATTGGGGGTTGATCATGGTTGCAGGTATGTGAGGTGAATTTGCCATCAAGAACCTCCATGATTGTAAAGATTAAGAAAATGGGAACGAAGGATTTGCGAGCTTCCATTAAAGATGATTCAATGGAATTCAAGAAACTTGCAAAAAGATGAATTACAGAATTAGTTAGCTTCTTGGATACTTGTGTTAAGTAGTTGTTGGAATGTCTGTGGGTATTCTTGGCGACTTCTTTAACAGCTTTCCTGAGGAGACTGAGTCAAGAGTAAGGTACAAGTTCTTATGCATGAGGTACAAGTGATTTATTATGAGTGAATGGAGAAAAGTAGACTATTTTATGTTGGGTTTACTTAGTGTAGCAAACTTGAGAAATTGGGGGGAAAAGGAAACACTATGGAAGATTTTTTGTGGGGAGAATTTCCACTAACATTTTCCAATTGACAATTTAGCCCATCTTCTAAAAGTCTAGTCACTTGACCTAAAAAATGGGGAATTGTATTTGTATATATGTGTCTAAATGATATTTGATTTTAAAGTTGAATAGTTATTTTGAAGCTTTTATAACCATAAATATGACTAAATTACTTAAATCGATATTTATTTTATAAAAAGTCGTAAGTTTAATATCTAACTATTTGAAAAAAGAATTTGACGTTTAACTGTAAGTTTATTATTATTTTTTTAGAATTGTCATGTTTTGCAGGATAAAATGTATCTTATAAATAGTTTTATAGAAAAATAAATACTTATACTGAATTTTTTCAAATTGTTTTCCAAATATACCCTTTAATATTTGTAAAAATCAAATTCCCCAAGTAAAACCTATATTTACGAATACATGTGACTAACATGTCAATTGAGTTTCATTTGTATCATTTTCTACATGCTGTTTTACATAATTTTATATTTGCAGTTAGTTTTTATCAGATATCATTTTTATCAACTAGATTTTCAATTATAAGTTATCAGTTAGCTGTTCAGTTGGTCTGTAAACAGAACCTAATATGTGAATGATTTTTTATTCCTCTAGGACCATATTTGAACAATCTTGGTCTAACTATACAACCAAAATATAGGTAATTAAATTGGTTGGTATAAAATATAAAACCTTCTTGTTTACATTTTGGATTCTTTGAACATTCATAATACAACTCTTTTCTTTTTGCTTTTCTGTTTTAATTATTTTTAATGAAATACGGTAACCTACTTGTAATATCATTTTTTAATTGAAACTAAAAGTAGATTGCTTAACATGATAAATTGATAAGTGATGTCCTTTTTAAAAGCAAATTACATATATAAACAAAACAAAAACACATGTCAATCATATAAACTATAAAGTATAAAGTACTTTTTTTTTTTTTGGTGTAGACTATATGAGAAATTATCAGCCACGTTTGGTTTTATAGATCCTCATATTTTGTTGATCCACACCTTTTATCTTATTAAAATGACAATCCAAATTTCCTAAATACGTTTAATATTAGATAAAAAATAACACAATTAATATGACTATGGCTAACTTTAGAAAAACTTACATTTTCAGCATTTTTTATTCCAGAAAAATCACTGATAATCTGAATTTTTCTCATTTAAACCATTATTTATACACACAAAAAAAAACATTATTTCCCAAAAAAACTATATGACATAAAACTTGTATTCCAAGCATTTAAATGATCATACACACAGTTACAGACTTACAGTTGCAGACAAATATAGAAACACTCAAGAATTAAGACAACAAACAAACTCCATGAACCCTATTAAAAAAAATCTATACACTTTATAAATAATACAACTTAATATCAGGAATAAAAATAACAAAATAGGTATTAAAATCAAAATTAAAGAAGATCTTTAGCTAGTCTGACAGGTGTCTCCTGTAAAAATGCCACGTCACTATTCGATTCAGTCAAAAGATGATGACGATGATCATCATCCACTTCATCTTCTTCACTCCCCATTGTTAATGGTGAATCACCCGAATCTGATTCTTCATCTGTTTCAATTTTCAACAGCAATTTTTACTACCTAAAATATAAGGGTATTTCTGTAATTTTTCCAAAATTATAATCAAAGCTCACCAGAAATTGTTGCATGATCAGGTAGATGTCTAACAGCTGCAACTTGAATGTTTTCAGGCAATAAACAGTTGCAGAAAGACCCTGTTCAAAGTTTAAAAAAAAAATCTATAAATCTTGAATCTTTCAAAGTGGAATGATAAAAATGAATGAAGGAGGATATAATTTCTTACCGAGTTTAGCCAACCGGTTGACCCAACCGGGTATTGGTTTCCCAGTGAGTCGCATTGATACTTCATTTGTGAAATGATTGCAGTTTTTTGCAATTAAATGATATGTGTCACCATAATATTTGTTAGAAAGATGTTCCATGAATGACCGGAATTCTGAAGGAGACATGTTGGTGCTTCCCAATGGAATTGAACGCCTGAAGATAAATCCCGGGCAGCTTTTTGGCTCCACTTCAAAGACTCCACTGGTTGGGTACTCGTGTGCTCCAAATGCGTATTCCATGTCATAGACTGATTATCATATCATAGTGTAAAGATATTACTTGATTCAAATCCAATTCAATGATTATCTGATAGTTGTTCATAGTAAGAAGTATATAGTGAAATTGGAAATGCTGAATCTCAGATAGGAGTAGATTATGGAGATCTAGAAACATATGTTTACTTGATGTAGCAAAAACTTGAAATCAAAACTTAGATTCTGATAGAAATTAGGTTAGTTTATCAATTCCAGAATCTGATAGCAATATTGAAAGTCAAACGTAAGGGAGTTGAATAGAATCTGGAAGAAATCGAATTCAAATGATATATATTCAATCGTTTTGAATTTGGAATTTGGAATTAGTTTACCTTCGATACCGGAATGGAAGATTCCGAAGCCTAACCAGACAGGGGTGAGATTGACTATACGTTGATATTGACACAATAAAGCATGATCACTTCCTCCATTTCTAAGCTCTCTAGACGAATTCATCGGAAACAGCCGCATTGTTTTGTTTTATATCTATGCACAGTTACAGACACACCACTTCGCCTCTGTTCAGTGCTCCCAATTCTTTCTCCAATGAAGATTATCCGTGTAAACCCTAAACTCCCAACCCTACAAAACCCTAAAAGATGGAAACTAAAATTAAAATCGGAAGTTCGTGAATGAAGAGATTAAAGGCGCATGGAAGTCTAAATCTAATACAGCAAATCGAAGCTAAAAAAACGACAATCGTAATACAGTCTTACATCGATTTGAGCTGCAAGTTTAAGCCACCAATTCGGATGAGAGAGAGAGAGAGAGAGAGAGAGAGAGAGAGAGAGAGAGAGAGGTACGTGTGTGTGTAAGCATTCATTAATTTTGATCTGGCAAAAACCATATATCGATTAACGGTAATTTTGTAATTAAGGATATAATCACTAAAAATGACAAAGATGGGGTCCTTGATGATATGACAATTTTTTAAAATATTTATTATAAAATAATTATTTATTTTGTAGAATAAACGTTACGATTTTGATATTACAAAATCATTTTATACAAGAAATATGTTTAAAACTTTAAAATTTTGTGAAATAACTTTTAGAGTAAATAACATAATGATGTTTATGGTATACATAACTTCTTATTTTCAATATAAGTTTCAAAAGCTTCATACCCAAGGCTTCATATCACTACGGTATATAGGTTCGTTTAAATAGTCTTATCTGTCTGTCAAATCAATCCCTACCTATAGTTCTAATCGTCCCCTAAAAAAATCATATTCATTTTATTCTCTCGTCCAACAAACTGAAGTTAAAATACAATGTTTTGGTTAATTTTTATGTTGGATTTAGATCTTTCGCTTTTAATTCAATGGATAATTTGGTGGATTGCATTGATGCGAGACCGATGGCCAGATCAGAAAAGGATATCATTCTATGGTGGTTATTTGGGTGTTTTGGACTTACAAGAATATTGTTTTGTTCTGGCATTCTAAGTTTAAGAAATAGTTTATTTTTGATAGTGTTGTAGATAATTCATTTCGTTGGTTTTCTTTTAGAAACTCTAAGACTAAGAAAAATTGGGTTGCTTGGATGCAAAATCCAATCATTCCTTAATTTTGTTTTTGTTTTTGGCTAGCTTCTTTCTAGCCTTTTTTTGGTTTCTAATGTATTGCTGTCTTTCAAAAAAATATAGTGTTTAGGCAATAATCATCAATCTTTAAGATTTCATTGAAAATCATTACCAAGCAATTGGTTTAACAATGTAGAGCATTCAAGGAACTAATATGGTGGTTTTTTAAAACATTTATGGTAGATGAGCCATCGAGGAGGATTTATGACAGAAGAATGTTATGTGGGCCACACCATATGAAGATATTCAAACCAATATATGGGGGAGTATGAGCTTGGAAGAGAATGGTACAAATGATGTTGTTTATAGCTCACATCATTTGTTCATATTTGTTATTTTGTTGAGACATGTATGGACACGAGAATCTTAGATTGTTATGAAATTAGATGATACTTGTCAAGACTCTGAACAAATCTGATGCCACTTGCCAAACTCTGATACCACTTTTTAGGAAGTAAAGCGGAAAACAAGCAAAACCAAAAGCACATAAGACATAGTATTTATGTGGTTTGGTCAAGGTGACCTACGTCCACGAGCAGGAGAGAGGTATTTTTTATTTCAGAGTTCTCAAACAAAGGTTACAAGTACAACCAGCAGAGATTCGTCCTATTAACTAAGGATACAAAAGACAAGACACCGGATGACTTAGCATGCATCCCTATTTATACTAAAGGGATCAAACCTAAAACTCTAATAAGCCAAACCCATTAGCCCATAGGCCCATGAATGGTGTCAATTAATCATAATTTGTCATGCATTAGCTTCTGGAACATTCATCCATGACATACAACATATTAGCATCATCAAAGCACATGATGGAGCATCATGAGCCACAGTGGAGTATCCAGATGCACAGTGTAACATCATGATTTTTCACCCAAAATGTTCTTTTTATTTTAACACTTTTTAACCAGAATACTAGGAGAAGTCTTATTTTGAATTTTATGAAAACATCACCAATGTTACCTTATTACCAAAAACAACCTTCATCAAAATTAAAGTTCATAAAACTAACCAAAACAAGTTCTCAAAACTGTAAGTAAATGAAAACTAAACGACATGTCTAAAGTGGTATCATCGCTAAAATACACTAACGTAACTACCCCAAAGGCCCCATCCTCTCCAAGGCATCATATTATGTTACTTGTTCCAATGCAAGGCAAAATAACAAGCAAATAAACAAGTGCCAACATACGCTAATTGAGTTAATCATAAGTACGGTGTTATGGAACACACATATCCCAAATGGATTAGACACGACATCATATAAGCATGCATTCAAACACTCACATAACATGGCATCACATACATCACATAACCAGCACAATTATACTCAATTAATATTATTCATCTTTGTAACTAATTATTATTACTTCATTGATCAATATAATATTATTAAATAATATTAATATTTGCTTTCATCATTAATAATTACTCTCCTCTAGTCACATTTGTAATATATATTAAAGAAGTCTCACCTTAGGAACAATAAAGTTGCTTTGGTTTTGGCAAACTTGGTCCACAACTTTACATATTTTCAATGGTTCAGATTTTTGCCACAAGAGTTTGTCATATTGACAATTTGGTCCCTTAAATAACCAATAGTGTAGAGGTGGGCATTCATCTGCATTGTAACTGATACGTGTCATTATTTCGTTCCCTCTTCCAATGTAACTGATATGTGTCATTCCCACCGTCTCCCACCGCCTCCAATCCCTCTTTCAACTTCCCAATCCATGTTATCCACTGCTTCTTCGACTTCCGCCTAAGCCTCCACCGCCATTGCCAAGAATTTTCTTTTCAACGTCTTCTTTCGTTTTTTTCTCGCAATTTGCGTTCTCAATTATTGTTTGTATTGTTTGAGACCGTACTTGGGTTTCTTCTCCATGCCTAGAGGTAGAAAATGCAATGTGTTTGAATATGGAGAATCGTCGGCTGGGGGTGGTGCACCTAAACCCACGAAGTAATTTCTATTTCTTCCACTTTCTACTTCGATTGAAGGTTTCTTATCTAAAGTTCTTCAAAATTGATCTCAACCTTCTCTTGATTTCTCGACGACGAATTCAGTCGGGTCAGGAATCATCGTCTGAGGTTTTGCTCCTTCTACCTTTCAATAAAGACGGATTATCACCGCCAACCTCTTTCAATATCCTGCTTACTCTTTTATTCTCCTAGCAGATCAATGATAGATGGAGGACGTCGGCGACACAGCGCCGTCTCCCTTTACCTTCAAAGTATAAACGACGATTGGGACTTCTCTCGCATCTGGAATCAGTTCAGGTGAAGGACTTCAATTTCTAATTTCGTTTCTTCCTACGCACCCACGTTCGTATTTAGTTTTAATTTCATTTGATTATTAGATAATTAGATAAAGGAGAGCATATCACGTTATGTTTTGGGGACTATACGTGTGCCTACGCTTTCTCTCCTATATGTTTGTAGCTTGAATAGATAAGAAGTGCTAACCCTAATCGATTCAGCTGCTTTCTGTAATGCTTGTTCCATGTATCAATTACTTCTCAAAATTTTAGGGTTTTAGATTGGAACTAGAAGAGTTGGGGAGCTCCAACTCGGCGAGTAGAAATCATTTTGGACGCGGGACTTAGGATCTACTCGATGAGCTGAAAGGCCCCAACTCGGCGAGTAGACGCTGTAAAGGAAAACCCAATTTTTCAGGGATTTGTACCCTATTTAAAGAACTTATGGCTCATTTGTAGCCTCTCTCATCGTCCTTACATCCAAGAGAAACCCTAGTTCAATCCTTATACCTTCTTGAGTGTGTGAGAGAGCTTTAGAGAGCGATTTTGGTGTGGTTGTGAAGGATTTTGAAGCTTGAAGAGGGTGGAGTAAAGAGAGAAGCAGTAGATCCGACATCTACTTTGTATTGGCAACCATCTTGAGGTATAAAGTTGCTACCTTGGCCTTTATTTGCTTATATCTCATCTTATAAAAGCATATGGTCACTTTTGGTGCATAATGGTGTCATTCTCGGATTTGAACTTGTCATGAGGATATGGTTTCAGATCTGGACACCTTTAGGCCTCCATGGACATAAAGTTGCTCACTTTATCTAGTATTAGCCCTTCTCCATGCCCTAAACCTTGTATAAACCTTATTTTTGAGTGTTTTAGCCTCTTAAGGCCTTGCATGCACGTAAAGTTGGCAACTTTACATGGTAACTACACCCTAGGGGCTGGATCTATAATTTGGAGACTTGGATTCCACTAGAAAGGACTGAACATGAAAAGGGATGAAGGGACTCGACGAGTTGCTTAGCCAACTCGACGAGTCGGGCAAGGTTTACCCGTTTTCGGGATCTTGAGTGATCTCGGTGAACTGATTAGAGATTTCGGTCTAGAGTTTTTGGTCTCTTAGACACTGAAGAACTCGACGAGTTACTCGGGTAACTCGGCGAGTTGACTTGAGATTTCAGTTTTATGGACTTTGAAGGAACTCGACGAGTTGCTAGATGCACTCGATGAGTTGGGGTCAACATGGACTGTTGACCTTGACTTTGACCAGGGTTGACCAAGTTTGTGACAACCCGAAATTTCTATCTTGTACAACTATTCAATTCAATCAAAGTCAGACTCGTTTCTGCTATCTTTTAGCATTGTTTAGAGTCTGTTTGAGTGTTCTAAGCCTAGTACCTTCAAAGTTAGGGTTTAGAAAAGAGTTCCTTAAGTTCATCACATTCTAATCGGGCCAAACACTCCTTCAAGAGGAGTGTACAGCCGTATACATGGGTGTACGTCCGTACACCCCCTTATGGCCGTACACTCTCACATATAAATGTGACACTTAGCCATTTTTAATCACTTTTCACACATTCAAGCCAAGAAATCGATTCTCTCTCAACTATCATCGGGTTTTTCACCTAGATCTCAAAAATGTAAGTGTTACTTCCTTTGATTAGTTAATTCATTACACTATCTAGTGAAGATTTAATCCATGAAATTACTTCTTTTTGGTTAGATCTTCTAGAACACCAAGAACACCAAGAACACACACTAGTTCTTGGACCTTAAACACCCCTTAGAGGCTTCTAATTCATAAGTACCTCTTCCTATGCTTGTCATACTCCAGAAACACTTATTATTCATCTTAAAATCGACATCAAATGCATGAACACAAAGAGTGTACGACCGTACACCCTTCATATGGCCGTACACCCCTTGTTTAGTGCATGTTTGGCCTCAA